AAACGAAACTGGCCCTAATTCAGTGTCCCTTTCCACATATTATCTAACCCTGTGGAAGGCACACGATAAGTTTGTTTGTTTGTTTGTTTTCGTACCAGGAATCAAACTTGGGACCTTGTGTTTGCATGGCAGGTGGGTCGCACTGAGCTAAATCCCCGGCCCTACAATAAGTATTTTTAAGTATTTAAAAAATTAGAGCTTTCTTTCCAGCACGGCATGATAGCACATATCGTAATCTCAGTACTCCAGAAGGCTGACGCAGAAGGACTGCAAGCTCCAGCCCAGCCTGGGCAAATCGGCAACTTACTGAGACTCTGTCTCAAAATTTAAAAAATTATAAAAAGGACTGGAGATTTAGCTCAGGGGTTCCGCTGCCTGCCTTGAGAGCACAAGGACCTGAGTTCGATCCCCAGTACCAAAAAAAGAAAAAAAAAAGAAAAAAGAAAATGAAAATGTTCCTTATGTCAGTTCCAACTATCATCCCCAAGCATATATACTTTCATACATACAAAATGTTTTTTCATGACCATTTTATAATCAATATTCACTAAGCATTTAGTATGTCCCAAGAACAATTCTTGAAGCAGGGAACTCAAAAAAAAAAGCCCAGCACAGGCCTGTAGTCCTTGCTAATCAGGAGGCTAAGGCATAACAGAAAGATCACTTAAATCCAGGAGTTCAAGACCAGCCTGGACAACACAGAGAAACCTCACTTAAGAAAAAAAGAAGAAGAAAAGAAAAAAAGTATCTTTGCCCTTGGGAAGCTTAAAGTCTGGTATATGCTCTTACTATGCAGTGTTCTCTCTAAATGTAATAAAGTAATCTTTGTTAATATGATTTCAAAATTCTAATTCTTCCTTTGTAAATTAATTGGCTATGTCTACAAATTATTTGGGGAGAGCGGTACACAGATTTAAACTGCAGTCTCAAGAGAAGCCTATGCTTAAAAACTTTGTAAAGTGCCTTGTTTAGAATTTATGTGTATCAAATGTCCTTCATTTCATTGTATGCGTCCACAGGCTACATCTCTTAGTAACTCTACATTTATAAGTATAAAAGAGCACCACTATAGATAAACTTTATTACAGTAACTGTTAGTGACTCTAAATCAAAAATGAAACTATTTCACAGAAAATAATTTGTGAAAGATGAAGGAAAATGATGTGGATAGAACTTTCTAATCTCTTTTTTTGGGGGGAACCGTGAATCGAACTCAGGTCCTTGTGCTTGTAAGGCAGGCAGCAGAACCACTAAGCTAAATCCCCAGCCCTCTAATCTCTTTTATATTTACTTCCAAGCCAGGCACAGTGGTGCATGCCTATAATCCCAGCACTCCAAGATGCTGAGGCAGGAGGCTAGCAAGTTCAACTCCAGCCTGGACAATTTAGCAATTTAGAAAGATTCTGTCTCAAAATGTAAAAGGAGAGGCCAGGGATTTAGCTCAGTGGCACTGTGCCTGCCTTGCAAGCGCAAGGTCCTGAGTTCAATGGCCAGTATAAAAAAAATTTTTTTAAAGAAAAGGGTCAAGGATGTAGTTTAGTGGCACCACACTTGTCTGGCAAGCACAAGATTCTGACTTCAATCCCTGGGTACCAGGGAAAAAATAAATGTAAAACAAAAATTTTAAGAAAAAAAAAATTTTTAAAGGGGGCTGGAGCTAACCATGGTGTTACATGACTGTAATCCCAGCACTCAGGAGGCTGAGGCAGTAAGATCACTAGAAATTTGAGTAAATTTCAGTAAATCCAACACCAAACTGAACTACATAAAAAGACCTGTCTCAAAAAATAAACATGTGAGCACCAGGAATTTAGCTCAGTGGTTCTGGCGACTGCCTCACCAACACAAGGACCTGAGTTCGATCCCCAGTACCAAAAAAAAAATAGACATGTGAAGGCAGGCCCTAGGTTCAGTCCTCAATATCACACACAAACAAAAATTACTTCCACAAAGCACTACTAAAGGAAAAGCGCATACTACACCCTAAAGCAGAGATTCAAGCCGTGGCTCACTGTGTAATGCTGGTTAACTTATTTAACTACCTCAGCCTCAGTTTTTTATCTTAAAGGAAAGGTAAAACTGACCTCATGGGGTCAGGATTAAGTAATACATCAGAAGCCTAGCTCAATGCCTGGAGAAAACAGAGGGTTATCCAGGAACATTAGCTTCCTTCCTCTTCCCTAGGGCTGCTAACTGCTGTCAGGTTTGTCAGGAGCCTGTTTGGGATCATCTTTATCAGAATCAAGCAAGCCTTTTTTTTTTTTTTTTTTTTTAAGACATTGTCTCACTTTGTAGATAGGGCCCGCTGGCCTTAATCTAACTCACTATTGTAGCCCGGGCTGGCCTCCAACTCATGGTGATCCTCTTGCTCAGCCTCCCAAATGCTGGGCTTAAAGGCATGTGCCATGCCCAGCTACATGAAGCTTTCACACCTCCAAAGGAAAAGCTCTCCCAATGCTCTTACAACTCTGGGTTTGCAACCAGATTTTATTTCTGTTTCTTAAAATCATCTGTCACTTTCTGCCTCTCCCATTAAACTACTAGCCTGAGAGCAAAGATGGTATCTCAATGATCTCCGCTCAGAGAAACAGCTGGCACATTTCAAGCCTTGAACAAAAGTCTGCGGAATGAGTAAATGAAGTTATTAAGAAGTACCAGTAATTACTACCGGGTGACCCAAAATTTATGGTTTTGCCCTTAATGCATTGAGATTCATTTTTAGACTTTTTAAAATCCCTCCTGCATAGCATTTGGCAGATTACTAAGAACATGAAAAGTCTACAATACATACTTTTGGGTGATGGGATCCACATTACACTTTGTTCTCTATGATTTAACTCTAAACAATCCTAACGGATGTGACTTTGGGAAGTTTTTTTTAGGGGGGTACAGGGGATCAAACTCAGGTCCTTGAGTTTGAGAGGCAATTGGCAGAACCACTGAGCTAAATACCAGGCCAAAGTCTTTTTTGTTTTGTTTTTCTTTTTCTTTTTTCTTTTTCACAGTAGTAGGGTTGAAATGAGAGAGCCCTGAACTATATTCTCAGTCCTCTATTTATTTTGAGATGGGGGTCCCACTTAATTGCCATGGCTGGCGGTGAACTTGTAATCCTCCTGCCTTGTGAGCATGGAAAACCTTTTCAAATAGGAGCTCGTAGCTGGGTGCGATGGCACACACCTGTAACTCCAGCTCACCTGGGAAGCTGAAGCAAAGGATTACAAGTTCAAGCCCAGCCTGGGTAATTTAATAAGTCAGCAAGACCTGTCTCAAAATTTTAAGAAATTAAAAAAGTACTGGGCATGTACAATATTACTCATGAGAAAACAGTTGGTTCAACAGCCAGTGCCACAAAAGTGGGAGGTTGTTCTTAACAGTACTGGCAAATAACTGAAGAAAACAGAGCTAAGCTACAAATACTTTTTCCTTATGTGCGTCTGTCTGTGTATGCATATTTTCCCTTTGTTTTTTCTTTTTTGTAATAGTGGAAATTGAACCAGGAGTCTCACGAATGCTAACCAAGTGCCTACCACTAAGCTAAATCCCTAGCTATATATATATATTTTTTTGAGGCCGGGTCTTGCTGGGTGGCCCCAAACTTTCGATCCTCTTGTTTCTGCCTTCAAGGAGTTGTGATTACATCAGGATTGAGCCACCACACCTACCCCTAAATAGCTTTAAAGAAAACAGTAATAGTTTGCTTCTAATTCATTTCACTAATAATTATTATAAAGCCCTTTGATTTGCTACGGAAGAGGTAAACATTAGGCAAAACTTAGTTTAATTTTTAGCCAAACATTCCCCACTCTGCGTGGCTGTACACTTCACCCCAGGAAGGCAACTGCTTTCAACAGTAAAACTCTATCAGTAAAATTGGGTGTATGGGGGGGGGTCTTCTAAAGTAAAACAGGTTTAACTTCTTATTGAAAAATCAAGTTTAAACTATAAGCTTTGGCTTCATTTAGAAAAGACCTTGAAATATCTCAAAAACTGGCAACTTGGGGACATGCCGGTTATCTTACAGGTTTGAAACTTGGTGAAAACACAAAAAGCGCAGGCATAATTTCATTACTGTATCCAAGGGACGTATTTCTCACACCTGTATATACAGAATCCATGCCATGCCAAGATTGGCAAGCAGTAAACTGTCCACCCAACTGCCCTTCACTTTCACCACGTAACAGAGAAAAGAGAAATCCTGACAAAGCCAAGCTGGGCTTAGTGCTTAAATACACACACCAGTCTGCACAACAGCAAAGCTATCTTGTGCCAAATACTGTGTCCAACATTTTATGTGAACTCTTAACATTCACCATTTACCAACCACCCTATGTGATGGGCACTATTATTATTCCCGTTTTGCAGCTGAGAAAGCTGGAGTGGAAGATTACATAGGTAGCAAACGGCAGGTTGGGGAGCTCCAGAGCTCAGGGCTTTTTTACGGTTACGGGGTCAGGGGCCATGTAATCAAAGCTTCCCCACACTTTAGACTCAGACACTTTCTGGGCTGTCAAGTTTCAAATCTACACAAGGCCCCTGCAAAGCGGATGGCATTCGGGCTGTCGCGCTTTCCGTCCAGGTGCATCTCTTTCCCTGAGGAGACCCAGGGATTCATCTGGATACGAGGCGTTCGCACAGACCCGGAAAAGCGCCGCAATGAAAAGGTACCCGGGGCGCAGCGAAGGCGGGAACCTCGGCGCCCCCCACCCTGCGCAGCGCGACCCGGCCGCGCGGTCC